AACCCTAAACCCTAACCCGAAACCCTAAACCCCGCTTGGGTGCGCTGGCTTGGTCTGTGAGGTGCGATTTCACGTACAAGAATCATCTCTTGACTTCCTGGTTCTTAGTTGGTGAGGGAAGTAGGAACTCGCACCTTATGTCCCCCTGTATAATCCCTTCAAGGGTATAGGGGGATATAAGGTGCCGAATTCCCTCATTCCCTACCAAGCGCCAATAGGTTGATTGTCCGAAACAACTCGGGCGAACGCATGCTCGCTCACCGTCAGCAGGCTTTACTTGTAAGCTCCGGGCGGTGCGTTCACACGTGTCCGCGCAATGAATCTTGAAAGCGATGCAATCCATGAGAACTTAACAAATCGGCGTCCAAAATCGCAAGACATGGCATGCCATATCATGTAAAGGTGCATACAGGCGTGTGAGTGGGATGTGAGTACTTCAGACAAAAGGACGGATGCACAGAGCAGCATGCGCCAAGTGATGTTTCTGCTTTCAGGCGTGAAGAGGCCCTACAGGCCTGCCTGGAGCTGTCACCTCAGCGAACTGCGGAGTGGTGCCCTGGACACAACGCGCCGCGGATCCTTCCCAACAGCCGAGGTATGCAAACTTTGGCTTTGACCAGTCCATGTGTTTGCCTTGGACACAGGCATGGTCAATTCGACATGAAAAGCCTGAGCCGTGTGAGAAGTTGTTTCGATGTCCTCGGATTTCAGCCGACTGTGCAAACTCTACCAGGCGATAGACACGCACTGCCCCCTTGTCTGCGGAGACTGCTGGGCATGACCCTCATCGCCTTTGCGCTCATGTTCTCTCCTTGCAGGCTCCACGAAATTCCGAGGTCGCAACTGGATCTCTCCTACAATAGCGGTACAAGAGAGTAGAATCCCTCTTAACAGGGGATTTTTAACAAGGGGGGCCCGAATCTCCCCAATTTTCTCAACCCTAAGGAGCTTGGCAAGCGGCTGCGGCAGGAGTGCAACTTCCAGATGCAGGCAGGGACGTCACCTCCGAGCTTCCCCTGAGCGCTGGTTTAGGGTTTAGGGTTTAGCGTTTATATAGGGTTTAGGGTTTAGGGTTTAGGGTTTAGGGTTTAGGGTTTAGGGTTCAGGGTTTAGGGTTTAGGGTTTAGGGGTTAGCGTCATGGAGTAGGGTATCTAGGCTTTTCTTGCGACGCAGGTCCTCGGTGAGCCTCAGACAACAGCGTCTGTCGCTTAGTGCAGCGCTGTAGGCCACCGCAGGCGTTTTTGCAAAGAGAAATGGTGAGTTCTCAAAGTTGTGGTCCCTGTTTGGTACCCTAGATACTACGGGGCCGCCTTAGAAGAGCAACCAAGGGACCATGATTTAGAGAAGTGACCAAATGGGGGCACGGAGCATGCTGTGGCCCTCCGGCCATGCCTTGCTGGACCTGAGGCTTTGGTGCAATGAAACCCTCAATGATTTTGTCTACAATCGATGCGAGCCGGCATGTTTGGCCTTGGGCCCAGGGAACAGGAGAATTTCTTGAGGGGTTTAGGGTTTAGGGTTTAATTGGGGGTTGAGAGGTTTTCGAGGCGAGCTTGCAAGGCATCCCGTGCTCGTGCACACGCTTCTTGAGCTTCTCAGGTCAATCAAACCCAGTGTGCCTCAGCCGAGGCGGGACGGTTCAAAAAACATGCGCTGCAAGAGGTGGATTCGCGAGTTTTGAGCACGACCCCCCCCACCCCCCCCCCCCGCCACCAATTCAAAAGCCGACCCCAAGGCCCCTAGATGCCAATTCTGCCAGAGGCCCGAGAGTGCATGCTGAAATGCGGCAACTACAACACCTGCAACTGTCGGAAGCCGGAGCCTCTGCAATCATTCTAGAAGCCACTTGAAATGGAGAGAAGGAGGGTGCATACGGATGTCATTCGTCTTGCTGTGAAGTCATGGGACCGGGCTTGGCAAAGCTGGAAGCAAATGGAGGAATCCTGCGCGCAGTCGTTCTCTCAAGATTCAAGAGGCGAGATTATGTGAGACTGCTCCCGAGGTTCAAAGGCAGCCAGAATCCCCCAGCCTGCGACGGCTTTACCTTTAGCACCGGCCAGGCCAATCCGAGGCCCCCGAGTTCAATTCTTCTTCCAAGAAACTTAGACGTGGGGGCGCCGCATCTCTGCAGGGACGATATCTTCTACGACTGTCGCCTGGTGCCAGACCAATGCAGGCACACCGATGGTGTGCTTTGCAACACTTACCGGTATTGCACCCCCGACCTTTGCCTCATTGATGACGCCTCGAACTCAGCCCTTGCTCGCAGTCAATGTGACAGAGGCTTGGCTTGCGGAATTCACACATGCGGACGCCAGAGCATGGCTAAGAGTATGCCAGCATGTCCACAAACAAGGTTTCAGCTTGCTTGTCAAACCACAGAGATTGTGTTATATATTGTGTACATACATTTACTTGTACAAGGCCATATATACACATATATGCATGCTGACATACTGATCTGCTGAGGTCGACTGCTCGCCGCGGCATCAGTGCGAGGCCGTTTGAGTCGTGGCTTGTCTTGCCCCCAAAAGCCTTCACTGCCCCCCCCCCCCCATTCGCGAACATATGACATAGGCATAAATGAATCGTACTGACTGTACATCGCTTCTTTCTTAATGTCTTAGCTTTGCTAGGTATCGGGCTCGCACGGTCTCTGTCGTAGCAGACCTACTGGGTAGTCCAGTCGCGCAACGACCTCTGAGCCTCGTCGCCGAGAAGGCTCAAAATTCAGAGCCACGCTTTGGACTTGTCACTGGCCCTCCCCTGCCGTGGCTCGTCCTCCTATCAGCGAAACGAACATTGGTCTGCAGCCTGGGCCTAAAGTGCCAGGTGAGTAGGGCGCAGCTCCGACAGCCTTGCATACATGGTTAGGGATGGCAAAGCCCAAACACGGGCATTCCGGCATGCTGCTTCCGAGGCCTCATGCGATAGCGCGGCAATGCCAGAGAGAAGAATCGACCCAGAAGATGGCAAGGTGCGATCAATGTGCAAATCAGTGTTTGGCACGCTGGCGGATTGCAATTAGAACTGGCACTTGTGAGCAGGCCCGTACATTGGAAGAAGTTGTCCAGCGGTATAGGTCCGTGCGGATCTCGGAAGACTACTGCGAAGTTTGATTTGTTTGTGGGCTTTCGTTCCCTGGAAGCAAGCGTGCTCAGCGATGTTGCAGGAACACACGCCACAGGCAGTCACTAGCTCAGCCAGAAAGAATCCTAAGAAGCATCGGCATGCACCAGCGGGCACAGCATTTGTATGCGAGGTGCGGGACTACTGGGAGAAACAATGCACACCGGTGGGCCCATGCTGCTTAAACCCCGGTTCAGGGTTTAGGGTTGAGGGTTGAGGGCTTAGGGTTTAGTTTAGGGTTCAGGGTTCAGGGTTCAGGGTTCAGGGTTCAGGGTTCAGGGTTCAGGGTTCAGGGTTTAGGGTTTAGGGTTTAGGGTTTAGGGTTTAGGGTTTAGGGTTTAGGGTTTAGGGTTTAGGGTTTAGGGTTTAGGGTGACATGTGGCAGGTGCCAGTCGACCCCTTCATGACACACCTGCAAAGCGGTCAAGGAGGGCGAGGATCCCGGCGCATCTCACAAATAATGGATGTGCGTGGCAGGCGCTTAAATTGAATGAGAGCTTACGCCGATGGTCAGTTCTACGAATTCATACGAATGCAGGGTTTAGGGTTTAGGATTCAGGGTTTAGGGTTTAGGGCTTAGGGTTTAGGGTTTAGGTGGGTGCCATGCGATGAACCAGGTCCCGCTACGGGCCACAACCCAACATGTACGGGCAGCAGGAGCCTGAGCATACAAGTCCAAGTTATGGCGCATTGTTCTAATACCCCAAAATACAAAGACCCCCCACCCCCCATCCCCAAGGGCAAACCCTGAACATCCGAAACCCGGAGCCCCAAACCCTAAACCCTAAACCCTAAACCCTAAACCCTAAACCCTAAACCCTAAACCCTAAACCCTAAACCCTAAACCCTAAACCCTAAACCCTAAACCCTAAACCCTAAACCCTAAACCCCTAAACCCTAAACCCTAAACCCTAAACCCTCAAAGACGTCCCGGCAAGGTCCGAACAGCCTCCCACAGCACCTGCATCGCAGGCCGAGATCAAGTCAAGGGAAATTGAGCCCCTGACTCCTTCTCATCCACCCCAAACAGGTTTAGGGGGCCAGTTTGGGGTTTAGGGCATGTCTTCGAGAAGGGGGCTACCTATCCGGTCCCTTCGATTCTTGGACGTGAACTCAGCACTCAGCTTTTCTCTCCCGTCCTGGCCCGGGTCGCAGAGAACCCCGGGGTGCCTACCCCATCTCGGAAATCCGGCAAAGAATCCTGTCTGATATCCTGGAGCGCACAACCCCAGAATCCCTCAAAGATTCCCCCGGAGCACCCTTGTGGCATAAATCCTCCATGAAAGGGCCGCGTCAGCTACGGTCCGGGGCGCGCAAGGGCGATAGTTTCTGCGAGAGAGCTCTGGTTGCGAGAGCGCGCGTCAGTGCAGCCCGCGAAGAGGCCTGAAAAGGCCGCGCGAGAGGCCACGAGAGCTGTTTCAGAGGATAATGAAAAGCTCCAAGGGGTTTCGCCACAACTCCCATTGTTCAGCTTTAAGGCGGGGACGCTTGAAGTAACTAATTAGAATTATGCTCGTAGGGGAATTCGCGGAAGCATTTCTCCCACGGCTGTGGAACAAGACGTGCCAGGTGCATCTTGGACAAGTGAAGCTGTCGGAGGATCCCTTCATGGCTGCCGGTTTCAGTACCCAGGCTCCGGCTGCACAGGCGCGACTCAGCCGTGGTGGACCTTGATTCCTATATCCCGACGGTCTATAGAGTGATGGTGATTGAAAAGGAGTGTGGCGGGTTCGGGGGTAGAATGGTCCTGTGATCACGCTGGACACATGCTGGCGCTGCGTAGGCCCAGACACACGGGCCGGTCGCAGACTTCCCTCCACCGCCGCCTTTTTTCACGACGCCAGATCAGCGAGAGGCTGCCAGCCTTTCTGTGTTCTCTTTGACTTTTGGGGGTTCGTGGGAAGCCCAGGAGCCGATGATGCAAGAAAAGGAACACCCGCGCAGCGCTGAGTCTGCGGAGTGCATGCAGCGGCACGGACAGGCTGCATGATGGGAGCTCTCAGAGTCGCCTAAACCCTAAACCCTAAACCCTAAACCCTAAACCCTAAACCCTAAACCCGCCCATAGCCAGGTCTTCAGGAGCGTACTCCTTTCTGGGCGCTGGCGATCCCGATCGGCCACCTCGGGCGTCAGGAACTCGGTAATCCATGCAGTCAACCCTAAACCCTAAACCCCAAACCCGTACAAAGATGCCACCCAGGCGGACAATCCTGGTTTTGGTGCCAGTCCTCATATTCTTCTGGGCCAGCACCTCTGTCAAAGCTGCGAGTGCTGGGCTGTGACCGTTTCCGTAGGGCTGGACACCCGAAACCCTAAACCCTAATCCCTAAACCCTAAACCCTAAACCCTAAACCCTAAACCCTAAACCCTAAACACCCACAGCTTGGACCCAGGAGCTGATCATCTGGACTCTCCTAGCTCACATCTCGGCGAACGCGTGCTGGCTGCGCGGGGCCTACGGCAGCTCTGCGGTCTGTGCGCATGGTGATCTTTATCATCCTTCTTAGAGTACCACTTACTGTCAATTATGATCCTAAACCCTAAACCCTAAACCCTAAACCCTAAACCCTAAACCCTAAACCCTAAACCCTAAACCCTAAACCCTAAACCCTAAACCCTAAACCCTATGCGGAGCTGCTACTGGTATTGTAGAAAGAGTTAGTGTTGGAAGTTGAAAAGGGTTAATAAACCCGGAAATCATTTTTTTGGCTCAAGACTGGGCCATGTGCCTGGTAGTAAAAGGTGAGTGCCCTGTGGTTTGGGTTTGTTGTGTGGTTGATCCAGGGAAATCAAGGGTTTCTGTTGGGGTTGACTGTTCGGTTTCTCGTCCCCCTTCGGTTCCCCCCCGTAGGTTATGAGCCCAAATTAGGTTCCCTGCGGTTTGTGTTTCGGCTTTAGGGTGGAAGTTTGAAGCCATGGCGACCAACTGGTTACGGACTGGTGCGGCATCATCGAGCTCCAATGTGGGCGACCAAGGTGAAGGTGGTGTCAAAAGGTCTGCAACGGGTGAAAAAGTTGTTCCCAATGAGGACGCTCTGGTTGATGTTGGTGGTATGCGTGGCGAAGAGAAGCCGGTGGTGGAAGGACTGGAAGACCAGATGGAAGCAGTTTTGCTGCGCCTTCTAAGCAAACATGGGCATCTTCTTCGAGCTGCGGAATCTGCTGAATCAACGGGAGCGCCAACAACAAGCTCCTCTACGTCAAAGATGGTGGAGCAAGGGTGCCAGACAGAACTGGTTGGGGATGTTATCCCTGTTTCCAAGCGAGCTCGCAACAAAGTGAGTTTCGCGGCTGAAAGTGGTGATCTGTTGACAGGTGAAGCGGAAGAAACTGCGCCTGTTGCTGCGACAAAAAGCAGTATCCTCGTCGTTGGGGACGCAGAAGGAGTCGTTCCTGTTGCTATGGTGATGAGCGAAGGAGAAATCCTGGAATTGGAGGCAGCAAGAATACAGCAAGAGTCAGACGAAGACTTATACGCTGGTGGTGGAGGCAAAGCGTCTCAGGCTGCTGACCTTCCAATCGTCGACTGCGATGGGAAGACATGGGAACGCCATTTTCACGAGGATGGGAGAGAATATCTTTACTGCTTGGACACTGGAGATACCCAATGGGTGTTGCCTAAGAAGACTGGAGTGGCTGGAAACAGCGAGGGGCCAGGTGTTGGAATGGGCATTGTCCCTGTGGAAGATGAGCCAGCGCTGGGTGCTACCTCGTCTCCGTCACCTACTGAGTCTTCTAGGGCACAGCAGGGTAGCATGGAAAGTGTGAACAGCGGTGTAAATAGTGTAAGTGAAAAGGATTTTTCCTCTACTATCGGGGATAGCGGTCCTAGGGGTGGTGGTGACGCCCCGACCTCGGGTTCTCCTGATGAAGAGGGGATTTCTGGAAACCGAGCAGACATCGCTGAAGCTCAACATCTGGATCGGGAAGAAATGGAGACGCTTTCTGAGGGTGTGGCAGCGGTGGAATCGGTGGGTCCAGAAGAAAAAATGCCCAATGTGGAGATCGGAATTGTGTCGGCTGCAGAAGAGCGAGTGGTGGATGTGGTGCCTGTCGTTCAGGAAGATGGCCCTGGAGATTTGGATGACGAAGAGAAAAAGTTGTGCATTACGACTGAGGAGGTCTCTTCGTTTGGTGCCGAGAATTCTGCCATTCAAAGGGAAAAGGAAACTTCTGAAACTGCTGGAGACACGGTGATCGGAAAGATGAGGCCTGGAGCGCCAATGAAGCGCGGGTCGATGCGCCAGATAGTACCTGGAGTGCGAAGGAGGCACGGGTTGAGGTGCATATGGTGTTACGTTCCACGGGCGACTGCAACAATGGGGCGCAGGTCTCCGCAGCAGCTGATGATGGAGGTTCACAGGTGGACG